TGAAGGACATGGATGGCTGGGAAGATGTAGTTGTAGCCAAGGGGGTTTCTTTTTTGAGTTCCTTGGTCTCTTGGCCAGGGGTTCAGAGAGTGTATGGTAGGTTGAATACAGGTCTGGGAATGCTCTTTGTACTATCTGATATCTATAAAATCTCCTCCTATTTACAGGAATACAGATTCAAAGGGATCTCGGTGTGACTCTTGAGTCCTTTGTGTAAAAAGACATCCACTGAGTCCGCAAAGGGCTTGCAACCGTCAAAGCGGAGATCTTCAAATGGTACTTTGAACCTCTCTCAGAAGTCCCAACATCTGCAGCCAAGACGTTCTTCTCATGATCACTGAAGAGGATCTAGACTGTGCTGCAGTATGTGCCACATCTAAGGAAGCCTGGAGCAATGTTTTTGCTACAGATTGTCCCTCCTGAACAGTGACTTTAAAGTGATCACAGTGTTTCTCTGACGGATGTTCACTATAGAAACTAAATCTGTTGTAATTTACGTAGTCCTATTTGGCCATGAGCACCTGATGGTTTACTCTTCTGAACTGAAGTGTGGATGGGGGGAGGAATAGAGCTGCTCATAGTCCTTTCTGTTTAGAGCTATGTTGCCTGCCCCTTTCATTAACAGCCTCTACCACTAGGGAGTTCAGAGCTGGGTGAGAGAATAGAAACTCCTGTTCCCTGGCAGGAACATAATACTTTTCATCCACTCTCTTGCAGGTAGACAGTATTATAGATGGAGTTTTCCAAACTGCCTTAGTGGGCTCCATAAGAGCTTAATTCACTGAAATAGCAATTCTCATCCATGACAAGGTGCGTGATGGGATTCCTGAACATCCTCTAAGGGAATCTGAAGTATCAGCAATTTGCTTTATCATTTCCTGAAACTGTCTGAAGTCATCTGCCACAGAAGGTGGTGGAGGCATGACATATCAGGTGAAGAAGAGGAAATATTTGTAAGAGGTGTCACCTCCTTGTCTGCCCTTGCGTCTTTTTCCTCACGGGTCTCATCCTCTGGCATGGGTGGTGACAAAGAAGGTTGAAGATGATCCCTTCTTCTCTGTTCCCTCCAACAGTGTGAAGACCTCGTCACGAATTGCTGGAGTTACAACACCCAGGGATCCCAGCAAGGCCACTGAGGGAGGCCAAAAGGCAAAGATGGAGACATCCATCTGTGTTCCTGCCAGGAGGGTGTCATTTGAGGTCTATTCTCTTGTAAAACATCAGTGTAGGAGGGAGAGTGATGTGTTCTGGGGAACCCTACACCAAGACCTGAAAATCTGAAGATTCCTCTTACGCATTCTCCGGGGGTCAAGGAGGGGAGCTGTTCAATTTGCAAAGTAGATTAGGGCAAGCCTGGTTCCCTGTGTGATACAGAGATCAGTGATTGAGAGGGTCTTACTGCTGACAAACCCCCAACACTCTGAAGAGACTATCAAGTGTTTAGGGTACCTAAACTCTTGTGGTACCGACAGTAACAAAGACTGACCTGGAGGATGGCTTCAGTACTGATGTAGCCAGCACTGAGCGCTTGGCCTGTGAGTGAATCGGCTCTGACTCTCGCAGTATTATATAGGGTCTAGTGGTCTTCGCTACAGTTGTCTTCCTTGATATCAGTACCAAGTGCTATTCCGGGACACTTATGTCTCTGTCAGTCAGGATCCAGATATCCAAAGTCAGTCTTAGACTGAGTTTTCTTCTTTGCTTTTGCAGTACCTGCATCACTCAGAGCCTACGCTGAACTCCCCTTGGGATCCGAGGTCTCTGTAGCCCTGTTGTGTGTTGGTGACCAAGATCTTCTTGGAGATTTACACCTCTCTCCTTCTGTTTAGAGGAAGATGTAGATGAGAACTTCAGTAGCATAGAAGTATTCAGTGACACAGTACTGCCTACGTCTCTAGCTGTTTCCGATGACCGAGATCTTGTGGGGCATCAGGAGTACTGAGAGGTCTTCTGCCTCTGGATCCAAAGCTGGACATAAGGCTTGTTCCATCATTAGTAGTTTGAAAAAAAAATATTGGGAAGTGAAGTTTAAAATCTACCCCTGAAGGATGTACAGATCTTGCACTTACTAGGAATATGGGTAACACACTAACTGTGCAGGCATTGGGAAAGTCTGTCACTGATTGAAATGAACCTCTCAGAAGGAGAGGCACCTCTTGAATCCTGAGGAACCTGGCATTCCTGAGAAAAAACAACAAAAGAGACAACCCCAAGAAGGGGAAGTTCTAAACTACTATCTAACTATATCTAAAAATAAAATCCTTTTATTTTTAGGGGGGAAAGGAAAAACGAAGGAAACACTAAAAGGTAAGTAATTATAAACTATCTAAATCCTAAAAGGAGAACAGACACATGCTGCAGACCCCATCTCAGACAAAAGGCGATTGAGAAGACACTGAGAGCAGTTCACCTGCGCAGCACCAAATAGCCTCGGTGTAGGGCACCAGGATTTGTGGGTCACATGCATGGACCAAATGGCCACCACTACCAAAAATCTCTGGTCAAAGGCACAGGGCGCATACACACCTGAAGTGGAGCACCCACAGGAACACTAATCAAAGAACTGGATATTTTGTAATGGTTCCTACAAGTTTTATTATATTAATAAAAAAAGCTATATTTTATATACATGCACACACGCAACTTTTTAAAAGCACTCATGAAGCTTAGATACACAACTATCGGGGGGTGATGGATCCCAGTCTCAGCAGCTCCTTGCCAGCCAACACTGATGTCTCCCCCAGGCCTGAGGGGCCTGCTGTGGGGCTCGCTGGACTGGGATTCCTAGTCACCGCGTGGTCAGCACTGCCCCCTTCTCCCTACTGGCTGGATAGGAAGCAGCAGCAGTGGTCTGGGCTGGAGCTGATCTCAGAGTAAACTGGGCCTTAATCCCTACCCCAGGCCAGGCTGGGTTGGACCAGGCAGCACCATGGGGTGAGAAACCTCCCCATTCTCCCACTCTTCCTGGGATGGGCCTGGCCCACTAACCTCCAATGAACAGCTGCAGCCTAAGCAGGCAAGCAGAAGCAGGATACCCGCTTCCACCTCCCTGCTGGAGAGGGAGAGGGCCTGGGGGCTGTGCATATCCTGTGAAATTGGAACATTTACCCATGACACTACTGCAATTTTTTTTAAACAAATCTGTGATTTTTCTCAGGGTCTGATGCATAAGGGATGGAGCAGAAGAACCCATGCAGGTGCTAGTGGAAGAAATGGACAAGCAGGCAAGAGAGACGTCTGTGTTGGGGCACGATGCAATGAGATGAAAGACTAGATAAACAGGAGACACAGTGGAAGAGCTCACGTAGGATGTGCCATTGTCACAATAAGTGAGGAAGATGATTTTGGCAGCAACATTTTGTTGTTCCTTGACTTTAGCAAAGCTTTTGACACGGTCTCCCACAGTATTCTTGCCAGCAAGTTAAAGAAGTATGGGCTGGATGAATGGACTATAAGCTGGATAGAAAGCTGGCTAGATTGTTGGGCTCAAGGGGTAGTGATCAATGGCTCCATGTCTAGTTGGCAGCCGGTATCAAGTAGAGTGCCCCAAGGGTCGGTCCTGGGGCTGGTTTTGTTCAATCTCTTCATAAATGATCTGGAGGATGGTGTGGATTGCACCCTCAGCAAGTTTGCAGATGACACTAAACTGGGAGGAGAGGTAGATATGCTGGAGGGTAGGGATAGGATACAGAGGGACCTAGACAAATTGGAGGATTGGGCCAAAAGAAATCTGATGAGGTTCAACAAGGACAAGTGCAGAGTTCTGCACTTAGGACGGAAGAATCCCATGCACCGCTACAGACTAGGGACCAAATGGCTAGGCAGCAGTTCTGCAGAAAAGGATTGAGGGGTTACAGTGGACGAGAAGCTGGATATGAGTCAGCAGTGTGCCCTTGTTGCCAAGAAGGCCAATGGCATTTTGGGATGTATAAGTAGGGGCATAGCCAGCAGATCGAGGGACGTGATCGTTCCCCTCTATTCCACATTGGTGAGGCCTCATCTGCAGTATTGTGTCCAGTTTTGGGCCCCACACTACAAGAAGGATGTGGAAAAATTGGAAAGAGTGCAGCGGAGGGCAACAAAAATGATTAGAGGACTGGAACACATGACTTATGAGGAGAGGCTGAGGGAACTGGGATTGTTTAGTCTACGGAGGAGAAGGATGAGGGGGGATTTGATAGCTGCTTTCAACTACCTGAAAGGGGTTCCAAAGAGGATGGCTCTAGACTCTTCTCAGTGGTAGCAGATGACAGAACAAGGAGTAATGGTCTCAAGTTGCAGTGGGGGAGATGTAGGTTGGATATTAGGAAAAACTTTTTCACTAGGAGGGTGGTGAAACTCTGGAATGCATTATCTAGGGAGGTGGTGGAATCTCCTTCCTTAGAAGTTTTTAAGGTCAGGCTTGACAAAGCCCTGGCTGGGATGATTTAATTGGGGATTGGTCCCTTTGAGCAGGGGATTGGACTAGATGACCTCCTGAGGTCCCCTCCAACCCTGATATTCTATGATTTTAAATGGACTTGAGAAAACAAGGCTGCATTAGTTAAACCAGTGAGATTACACTGGTCAAGGTGGGAGAGGGCAAGGGCCTGGACAAGAGCATAATCCACATTCAGATTATTATTCACATTATCCACATTCAGAATTGTAGCCCTTTCACCCCTCTGCAATCAGACTATAAGTATTTGATATTAGCTGAAGTTCTATGCCTAAGATTTCTGAACCTTGGAGTAAACTCCAAGAAAGTAGCTGCCCTTCACAGCTATCTTTCTAATAAGCAGTAAACACTTAATTTTCAAGTCACCATACAAAACTAGTAATAAAACATGAATCGTCACTCTGGCAAAGACAGGCATATCTGTTGAACTTGGTTTACAATGCCAGTATATCCACATATCTTAAAGGAGTAAGTATGACAGAACTTAAACATTAAGATTTTTCAGTACAGCCGTTCACTACAGTACAATTTCCTCTTCATTTTGGAAGAATTCAGTACATACCCTCTTTGAAACAAATCCACATTGTAGAATTTGTGGAGCTCCACGGAGAATTCTATCATAGCCTGTACTTCACTCATTTTTATGTAGCTGCATAAGCCAAAAGTGTTGTCTGCACCTTAGTTACTGGAAACAAACAGAGAAAACAATTTTTTTCTGGACTCAGAGGCAAAAAGACACTTTTTTTTTTCCTTCAGGACCACTATGTGGCATGGGCTGTGCATAAGCTTCCACACTGCCTCTCTGCACTTTGAGTCTGAGTGCATTAGGGGTAAAGAGATGCTGTATGCCAGCAGTTCCTAGCGCCACTCCTTGATTCAGCTCCAGATCTCCACTCCAAAACATACTTGGCTAGTGCAGCTGAGCCAGTATGTGGGATGGGGGGTTAGTAATTTAAATATAGGTGTTGGCCAGTAGCAAATTACTACCCCCAAAGCAATGTGAGGGAAGGAGTCTTGCTTCTCTAAGGCACAATACTTTCCCTGCACTGCTCCTAGGTACAGTGCACCTTCATGTCATCCCATACTCAGGGCTTCTGGCAAAACCACTATCTAGCCCTTTTAAAAAATGATTTTATATTTCTTTTATAATAAGTCTTCACATCCATTTTCAGCCATAAAAAGAATAATATTGCTAGGACCCCATTTAATCCTAACCACACAGAACACTATTTTGACATTCCTTTGCTTAATTCACTTTTTATGATGGTTATCAGTTTTAAAAACAGACTGAATCACTATGTTCCACTTCAGTTTAAATCATGTCAGTGCAAGCAAGAACAGTGTCTTGAATTTCAACATTCTTCCTACTGTACAGTTTAAAAAGTTACAAATCATTAACAGATTGTGTAGGTTTGAGTTTCTTCTCCAACAATGTTTGTTTATATCTATGATTTCTGTTTGTTACATATGTTGTAGCACCAAAAAAGCTGAAGTAAAAAGAAGAAAACAGAACCTTAAAAGTGTTTCTTTGCACATGGCCAAAACCTGATACCACTGAAATCAACAGCTATTTTTCCACTGGATTCAACAGCAGCAAAAATTTGCCTTTTAATTAACAAAATTCAACAAGTAGCAGTATTATGAAAATAATCAGATAAGGCTAGTCCATATTGGGTCTTAAAACATTCTAGTGATTAGCATCCAGAAAGAGGTGTTTCTTTAACTCAACACTCATCTGCTGCCTAAGAAACAGCAGATTGCTTTGTGGAAAACTAGCTATATATAAGCAACAGGAATCAAGAGACAAGGTGAGTGAGGTAATATATCTTGTACTAGACCAACTTCTGCTGGAGAGAGAGGGCAGGTCTACACTACAGCAGGGATCGAGGGTCTGAGATCAATCCACCAGCGGTCGATTTAGTGGGTCTAGTAAAGACATCCCCCACCCCCCATCAACCGCAGATTGCTCTCCAGTCAACCCCTGTACTCTACCCCCAATGAAAAGAGTAAGGTAAGTTGACGGGAGATTTTCTCCCATCGATCCCCCGCAGTTTCTCGACCTAAGGTACGTTGACTCCAGCTACGTTACTCACGTAGCTGGAGTTGTGTAGCATAGGTCGACTTACCGCAGTAGTATAGACATAGCCAGCAACAAGTGTTCGAGCCACACAGTCTTCTTCAGACCGGTGTGGCTCTAAAGCTTGCCTCTACCACAAAAAGAAGCTGGTCCAATAAAAGATATTACCTCATCCAGTGTGTCTCTCTAATATCCCGAGCTACAACCACATTGCACACAACAGGAGTCAGTGCAGTTATGTAAACATCAGACATACAGCAGACCTTATAATGAAAGTGAAGTGTATCTTAATGCAAAGACCAGAACTAATGCAAGGTTTTAGTAAAAGTACAGTAGAACCTCAGAGTTACGAACGTCTTGGAAATGGAGGTTGTTCATAACTCTAAAATATTCGTAACTCTGACCAAAACATTATGGTTGCTCTTTCCAAAGTTTACAAATGAACACTGACTTAATACCGCTTTGAAACCTTACCACGCAGAAGAAAAATTCTGCTTTTAACCATCTTAATTTAAATGAAACAAGCACAGAAACAGTTTTCTTACCTTGTCAAATTTTTTTTATTAAAAACTTTCCCTTTTTTTTTTTTAATAGTTTTATGTTTAACACAGTACTGTACTGCATTTGCTTTTTGTTTTTTGACTCTGCTGCTGCCTGATTGCATACTTCTGGTTCCGAATCAGGTGTGTGGTTGACCAGTCAGTTCAAAATTCTGGAGTTCGAAACTCTGAAGTTCTACTGTACTGTGTCTAGTTCTTTTAACACAGGTAAAATCTGAAGATCATTTTGAAATCCAATAGTATTAAGCATTAAGAATGGAAATGCTTACATTCAGATGTCAGTTACAATCATTCTATTCTATACTATACTAAGGACCAAAATTTTGCTTTCATTTACATCTTTAATTCTCACTGGCTGTAGTAGGAGTTGCATGGATGTTAGGTAACAAAAGAGGGTCAATAAACTATTAGAAGAAGAATCTTTGTTTCTTACCTCTACTGGTAAACAATCCATTTTAATATGTGAAATAATCAGTCTTCCAATTCTCCATTACTGCGATCAAAAACATGTTTATACTAAAAAAAAAAAGAATAATAATAATTAATTGTACCTCTTAATGTAAGCACACATAGCTCAACATCCACTATTTTTCCTAACTTTTCCTCATGTGTTTGAAGGTAACAGATTAACAAAATGTTAGTGAAGAATAATTCTATCTCCACCATATTCGTGAACAATCCAGGCGTTTAAGTGAATGAAAGTACTGTCAGAGACTTTTATTTTCCCAATCTTCTTTGGATTTCAGGCAGGCAGAGAACAGGATTCAGACATATTTCAATACACTGAACTCTACTTCTTTTTATTAAGGATGGTTCAAACAGATTGCAGTTTTCCTTTCTGTATCTCTCTCAACTGCAGAGAAATAGTGCCCAAGCTTACTTCTGTAGGCTTGTACAGTTATAAAATTTGAACTATTGTTGCCTTAGCTTCAGAGGGGAAAAAAAAAAATCAACGAATAAAAGTACAGTATAAAAAAAATATACATGCAATTTCTCAAATGGGCATTTTTCTTGGTGGGTCATTCTTAACGCAGTGCCTTTCAATCCCAAGGATTTGGAGTGAAAGCCTGCTCCCACTAATGTCACTGGCAAAACCCCCATTGACATCAATAGGGACAGGATTTCACTTCTTTTGCTTACAGAGTGTGTAATACATATTTCCCCACACTCGTTTTTAAAAATGGTTTAAGATATACAATAGGATAACAACTTGAAAAAACTCAAGTTGAGTAGTTGACATTTTTAGTCCTAAAATCCTAGCAATTCAATCACAATTTAAATTCTGAAGAAGCAGTTTACCATCACAGCCACTAAAAACACAGTGAGAAGAGTCTGAAGAGCAGAAATACATAAAACGATGAAGGGAGGAGAGAAGACAGTAAATTACACGAGCTTGTAATCTTGTGCTTCTCCTATGTCTCTTACTGCTCCTTCAGTGAGTCCTGTGGAGGATGTCCTGATGCATCCGATGAAGTGAGCTGTAGCTCAAGAAAGCTTATGCTCAAATAAATTGGTTAGTCTCTAAGGTGCCACAAGGACTCCTTTTCTTTTTGCGAATACAGACTAACACGGCTGTTACTCTGAAACCTGTGGAGGATAGTCCTCCAACTTTTCGGGGAGAGTTCTACAGGCCTCTGTCCTTGGTCCCCCTCTCTTCTCCCTCTACACCTTATCTCCCTTTGCAACTTAAGCAAACACAAATTCAATTACCATCTATATGGTGGGTTTCAGAGTAGCAGCTATGTTAGTCTGTATCCGCAAAAAGAACAGGAGAACTACAAAACAAAAAACACTAACCCAGGAACCTATCCTTGCAACAAAGCCCGTTGCCAACTGTGTCCACATATCAGGGGACACCATCACAGGGCCTAATCACATCAGCCACACTATTAGAGGCTCGTTCACTTGCACATCTACCACTGTGATATGTGCCAGCATTGCCCCCTCCACCATGTACATTGGCCAAACCGGACAGTCTCTACGTAAAAAAATAAATGGACACAAATCAGACATCAAGAATTATAACATTCAAAAACCGGTCGGAGAACACTTCAATCTCTCTGGTCACTTGATTACAGACCTAAAAGTCGCAATATTACAACAAAAAAACTTCAAAAACAGACTTCAACAAGAGACTGCTGAATTGGAATTAATTTGCAAACTGGACACCATTAAATTAGGCTTGAATAAAGACTGGGAGTGGATGTGTCATTACACAAAGTAAAACTATTTCCCCATGTTTATTTCCCCCCCTACTGTTCCTTACACGTTCTTGTCAACTGCTGGAAATGGCCCATCTTGATTCTCACTACAAAAGTTTTTTTTTGTTTTTTGTTTTTTTCTCTCCTGCTGGTAATAGCTCACCTTACCTGATCACTCTCGTTATAGTGTGTATGGTAACACCCATTGTTTCATGTTCTCTGTGTATATAAAATTGTCCTACTGTACTTTCCACTACATGCATCCGATGAAATGGGCTGTAGCCCACAAAAGCTTATGCTCAAATAAATTTGTTAGTCTCTAAGGTGCCACAAGTACTCCTGTTCTTTTTGCATCTATATGGTGACAACTCACAGATCTACCTCACTACTCCAGAAACGTCTTCATGTGCTATAACTAAAATCTCAAACTGTCTGACATGTCTCATTGATGTCTAGCCATCGACTCAAGCTAAATATGGCTAAAACAGAGCTACGCAGTGTAGTACTGCAGAGTACACTTAATACAGCAACGGAAGGGCTTTTTCTGTCACTGTAGTAGGTACCACTGTTCCCTCTAAGCTGTGCGCGTGTGCACCTGCACACAGATCTTAAACCCTGCGCACACGGCAAAACACCCCCCCCTCCTTAACGGCTTTTTTTTTTTTTTTTGTGCGCACTCCGGCTTCCGCGCCCCCCTTTTTTTTTTTTTTTTTTTTTTTTGGCGGCGCGGGAACAAATTTTTTGCGCACACGGCCTGTTAAACATTAGAGGGAACACTGGTAGCCACCCCCTCAAGAATTCTTCCATTGACCTAGAAGTCTCTACATCCTAGCAGTCTCTACATCAAGGCGAAGGTCAGCTTAGCTACATGTCTCTGGGGGGTGAATTTTTCACGTCTGAACGACGTAGCGAGGTTGCTTAGCACCCACCGGCAGCCAGCTCACCAGCGCCTCCCGTCTGCCAGTGGCCCTACCAATCAACTCCTCCCAGTGCCTCCTGCCCGCCACAATCAGCTGTTCCACGGCATGAGGGAGACGCTGGTTGGGAGGGGAGGAGCAGAGACTGGTCGCACTTTGGGGAAGAGGGTGAAACTGGGCAGGAAGAGGCAGGACGGGGCAGAGTAGGGGTGGGAAGAGACAGGGTGGGGCCTCGGGCAGAGCAGAGGCAGGGCGAGGGTGGGGGTTTGGGGGAAGGGGTGGAGGCGGCAGGGACTGAGCGGGAGTAGAGCACCCCCATGGAAAGGAGGAAGCCAGCACCTGTGGCACCAGTGATTCCACTGAGGCTTCATGCAGTTGCAAGGGAACACATGTAGAGATGTGAGAGCTGGATCAAAGCCTTATTTACTTTTTCACTACCTAATTTAAACGTGCTAAAAACGTGCCCAATTGATTCCAAGCTGTTTGTACATGAATACAGGCCTTTTAAAATTGACAGAATTCTGAATTCAACTGTTCTGTCTTCCGCTATTTTTCACTATTTTGATGGAAGGAACTTTAACACAACATTCTTTGCACACAGGTTTAGGTGTTTGGTTTTAAATGCTAGGAGAAAAAAGGAACCAACTCAGACTGACAATTCATGAGACACATAGCCTTTTTATCCTGTTATGGAGTCAACCTATGACCTTTATTTGGTATCAGTTATCGTATTTCCTTAGCATCTTCATTTTTTGTTACTAATTTGATCAAATCAGATTTCTGCTGAGGCTACAATAATCATGTAATATGTTCTTCATCTGTCCAATTTCTTGGAAACCTTTGCTTGTTTTTTAAATTTAGAGCCTTGAGTTCCATCTTTGCACAATATATACTATGTTTCAATCAAAGTCCTAAACTTTTCAGTGCTAATTTCAAAATGTTTATATAGTTTGATATAAATGTAGATATTAGGGTTGCCGAGTCTCCAGGATTATCCTGGCCTCTCCAGGAATTAAAGAATCTTTAATTAAAGCTTATGTCATGCGAGGAAACCTCCAGGAATACATCTAACCAAAACTGGCAACCCTAACAGAGATATAATCTTCCTGTGAGATCCACCAAATGTCATCTGGACCACCTTCTTCAGACTGGTGACCATAAAGAAGGTGATGGTCACAGAAAAATTTTTCACATTTCACAACTTGCTTTAGAGTAGCGTTTCCAAAACTTGGGATGCCGCTTGTGCAGAGAAAGGCTTGTGGCGGGCCTGGCTAGTTTGTTTACCTTTCTAAAGGTCTGGCTGATCGCTGTGCCCGGCCAACGGGGGCTGCAGGAAATGGCGCAGGCCATGGGACATACAGGGCCTTTCCCTGCACAAGCGACGTCCCAAGTTTGGGAAACACTGCTTTAGAGTGTTAAATGTTACTTCTTCTTCAGAAATGTTTAAATAGTATGTGTAAACACCTATACATCATAAGTATAGGATGATAACACCTGATATGTTCTCATCCTGAGATGACTGAACAAGTGGCAAAGAGCCATACTTTACTCTGCATTCCCAGATGGCATCTCTAGCAACTTGGACAATTTTCTTTTCAGCTGCAAAGCCCATAGCATTTTTATTTGAATGGATGCTTATAGTCATTATCAAAACAGACTAACCATCTTGCATTAATGTTAGAGTAATTCCTTTAATTTTCTATTTTTTCACTTGCAGCATCTAGAAGTGGATTAGAATTAAAATTTGTGTGCAGAATTATTTCTAGGACAAAGTACTTCAATCATGTCTCTCTAATATTGTGCTACACTGAAGGTAAAGTTAGCATAAAGGAATGTAGCAACCTTATCAAGTCCAACTTTTGCCTTTGTTGCTTTTATGAATAAACCGAGCTTTGCAACTTTTTTGAGTGTCTAAAATAGACAGACTGCTCTAAAACAAAGCCAATATTGAAAAGCTGCGAGAAGGCCTCGCAGAGACTTAAAATTATCATGTATATGTTTCAGAAACATTGGCCTTAAAAATGTTTCATACTTAATGATCAGCTCTAACACCTTCAGCAGCATATTTAGTCACACATTTGGTGATCTTGATGAATCCAAAGGAACCAGTTTTCTGTGCTTTTTGAGAGGAGCATGAATCCTTTTAATGTTACTATTTAAACTACTGATGAGAACATTTACATTAGAATAGTTATTAATTTGATTGTTTTTTTCTGCTGTTTACTTGTCATGCTGAGTCAGAAATTCAGACACTGATGTTTGGTAAACACCAGTTTGCAGCTTTCAAATTTATTTCAGTTAGAATGAGAAATGACCTATTAAATACAATGTTATGAAGAATAAAAAATAAGATGAACTCCTGTACAAATCCAGGTTATAAGAAGCCCCACTCACCTTC